CCCTGAGTGAGAGGAAACCAAAGAAGAGGCCCAGAGAAGCCGAAATCTTTAGTCAGTGTGGGAAGAAAGTCCAACAGGTATGTTGTATATTATTAATAGGGTTCGGCTTCATTCGTATTTGAACGGATTTTAGAGTATCTTATTATTCTAAGAACATTATGTGTTTTTTTTTATCACATGAGCCTATGCTGATTGTGTAATTTTCTATCATATGGTGAAGGTTTTCCTGTGACAACAATATAGTTTCCCATCATATAAGTCTGTTCAAAGATTTTTGATGTGTATCACCATATCATTTATCACCATGTAAGTCAATATTTTGTTAGTATTATGTATACTAATTTCCCATTGCATGAGTTTATGCCGTTTTTCCTTTAGCATCATTTACGTATGCAATGATTATAGTAAGTGTAAATATTTACATTAAAAACTTGCTACCATCTTGGCAATTATCTTTGGTGAATAGCAGGTCTATTGGCTTATCAATTTGAGCCTCATGTGATTCCCCCTGTATGCATTATAATGTATTAATTGTAGTAAATAGATAAATGATTTTGCATTATCTTCGATATTTAGTATGGTTTCTCTTTTTCATTGTTGTCTTTAAAGACTAGACTGTATGCTGAATGAACAAAGTAGCTTGTAGTGCTTTGAAATTTGTGATAGACTTTCCTAAATAGTTTTTCGTATCTTTAGGGAGGAACTGCTCTCTGGGTTGAATTGTACGCACCAACGACTAGAGATGATTTGGCCGTCCACAAGAAGAAAGTCCAAGAGGTGGAGAACTGGCTGGTGGAGAGCATGGCAGGTATGAAGGTAAGGATATATTTATTTTTGAGTTGGTAAAAAAAATAATAATGATAATAAATTAGACTCACTCTCTCTCTCACTCTTCTCACTCTCTCTCACTCTCTCACACTCTCTCACTCTCTCTCACTCTCTCTCACTTTCTCTCACTTCTCTCTCACTCTCTCTCTCTCTCTCTCTCTCTCTCTCTCTCTCTCTCTCTCTCTCTCTCTCTCTCTCTCTCCTCTCTCTCTCTCTCTCTCTCTCTCTCTCTCTCTCTCTCTCCTCTCTCTCTCTCTCTCTCTTCTCTCATCTCTCTCCTCTCTCATCTCTCTCCTCTCTTCTCTCTTCTCTCTCTCTCTCTCTTCTCTCTCTCTCTCTCTCTCTCTCTCTCTCTCTCTCTCTCTCTCTCTCTCTCTCTCTCTCTTCCTCTCTCTCTCTCTCTCTCTCTCTCTCTCTCCTCTCTCTCTCTCTCTCTCTCTCTCTCTCTCTCTCTCTCTCTCTCTCTCTCTCTCTCTCCTCTCTCTCTCTCTCTCTCTCTCTCTCTCTCTCTCTCTCTCTCTCTCTCTCTCTCTCTCTCTCTCTCTCTCTCTCTCTCTCTCTCTTTTGTTATAGTTACAGAAGAAAATAAAATCAAATTGATTATTGATGAGGAAAGGGGAGGGCTTAACATGAGACTTTCTTTAATTACGAGCATTTCTGACAAAGAGAAATAACACCATCCTGTCCTTATTCTCATAGGGCCGCAGATTTCTCCTCTTGACCGGCCCTGCAGGCTGCGGAAAAACAGCCACGATAAAGATATTAGCAAGAGAGGCCGGACTCACAGCACAAGAATGGATCAACCCAACTTCAACGAGTTACAAGTCTGCTTTTATGGATCAAGGTCTGTTTGTATGTTAGGTACAGGTCTTTTGAGTAATTAGCAGAAGTAAGATTTTTTTTATTTAATCTGACAGATGTATGAGGATATTCAGATACATGCACAGAGACATACTGGTATCTACTGTTTTAAGTTCTTTAGGTGCTTATTTCTTTTCTTTTTGGCACAGGGAAAGGAATGCAAGTCTTGATCCATAGCAGTTGAATGTCTTTAGTTGTGAAATGGATGAATAACTTTACTTAGTCCAAATCCTATGTTAAACTATGTTGTGTGTAATTGGGTTTTAATTATTGACTTAGTCCAGATCCCAAGTTAAACTTTTCTGTGTGTGCTTTGGTTTTAAGCTTACTGGTGTTACATCCTATGCTAAACTATGTTGTGTGTGATTGGGTTTTAATTATTGACTTAGTCCAGATTAGTCTTACATGCAGATGTGCAATTTTATATGGTTGAGGCAGTGAGGCAGTGATTGCTGTATGCACATTATGAATGGAGATGTTTAATCTTGTTGAATTTCATGTGAATTATTCTTAATGGTTTATGTGGTTAACAAAGATATTATTTAGGTTTTGCTTATCACATCTTGTGTACTTCCTGATATTTTCAAAGCATTATACAAATTCTATCACATTATTTCAGAAAATATCTGGATCTCGGGGGACACTGTCGTACCTGGTAGTCAGACGTCTCAATTCAGAGATTTCCTCATTCGGACGAGCAAATATAGAAGCGTGTGCGGGACGGGAAAGGCCGGAAACATCATCCTGATTGAAGACTTTCCCAACGCGTTTCTCCGAGATCCTTCCGAATTTCACATGATGTTGAGGTTAGTGTATTTTAATGTCCCTTCTCGGAATCCGTGTAATGCAAACTAACTTTATGCTTGGTTGTTATGCCATTGGATCAACTAGATGTGTGTCTGTTCTAAATATCAATCATTACATAATAAATTAGAGTCAGAGCTGATTTCTTGATAACTCCCTTTCAGCAAATGTCTTATGACACTAATCTCTATTACAGACAGTATAAAGCCAGTAGCCCAGTGGTATTCATCATGACCGACTCCACCAATCAGCAAAGCAGTGCTAAGCATGTATTCCCCGTCAATCTTCAGCAGGACCTCTCCATTATCAACATTCAGTACGTATTTTATGCTGTCCATTTCTGTTAAAGTCATGTGCATGTTGGAAAGGCCTGCAACATCAAACAAATGGTCTTGTTCAGAATGTTTTTTGTTTGATGTTTGTTGGAATATATACACGTTATTGATATTGTCATCATCATTTTTCTTATTCTTATTTTTGTTATCATTATTTTGGTTATTATTATTATTTCAACTTATGCTCTGGCTGTTGGAATTGCCGCCTTTACTTCTGTTAGGCGGGTCATAGCGAATGACCAAGGGCGAACAGGAAATCTCTCTCTTACACCTCCAACATCTTCCTCAGGATCCTTGTAGTTCCTAACAAGGCAGGCTCTTGTACACATTATTATGTTATTATTGTTATTTTTTATTTAGTAGTAGTTAGGTTATTATTATTATTATTATTATTATTATTATTATTATTATTATTTATTATTATTACTATTATTATTATTACTTACTATTACTATACTATTATTATTACTATTATTATTGTTATTATTATTATTATTATTATTATTATTATTATTATTATTATTATTATTATGTAGTTATTATTGTTATTATTGTCATTATTATATTATTATTATCATTAACATTTATTATTGTATTATTATCATTATCATTTATTGTTATTGTCATCATCATTTATTATTCTTATTATCACTGTTGTTGTTGTTATTATTACTATTATTCTTGTTATTTTCATTTCATTGTTGTTATATGCCTCATTTTCTTAATTTCTAAAATGGTGGGCTGGATAGTTGTGCATTTGCAGGCCCTTCTAACCTCTTTAGTTTAGTATTTATCAGAAAGTACAAAGAGCAGAATTGTATTAGAATGAAGGTCCTGTACAGAGATAGAACTCACTGATTACTTTTTTCATAAGTAAGAGAAACAGACAGACAGACAGAGAGAGAGAGAAACTGAGAGTGTTTTAAGCATGTGTGTGAATAAATATATATGTTGCATAATCATTTTGCAATCTGCTTCAGATTCAACCCCATTGCAAGTAGTTTGCTGGTGAAAGCCTTGAGTCGTATTGCAAGTATGGAGAGCGTCTGCTCGGGACAGCCCATCCCCCCTAAAGAGGCCCTTCAGACTCTGGCCGATGCATCCGGAGGAGATGTGAGAAGCGCAGTGAATGCCCTTCAGTTCGCGGCAAAGAAAGGTACTGTGTTTACTGATGGGTGGTTGGGTGCTCAGAAAATAATTCTAGATCTTATGAAGTTTTAGATTTGTGTGTCCTAGGTCCTTAAGCTTTTTTAGTAGTGACCCAGTATTCTGTCAGTCCCATCTAAAGCTATCATTAAATTCACAAAACTGGGCATTCATTGGTTGTTGGAATATTTAATGATTATGTTGAATTATAGAATAAGAGCAACAAATAATAGTATCTGGTTGATAGAGAAAAAAATCATGCTCTTTAAATATCCAATTAAATAGCTTGGCAATACAGTTTCATATTGTGATTCATAGGTAAAGAAATGCAGGTGTAAAACATTGTATGGTTCCAGATGTTTACCACATTCAAGACTTGTTTGCTGGAGGATCTGAAAAGGGAAAATCAAAATCATCCGTCAAGGCACAAAGAAAGATAAAGGGGAGCAAAGCTTCTTCATCAAAAGCAGGTGATGCCGACACTGAAAATCTCATAGCGGTAGGAGGAAAAGATGCCTCACTTTTTCTCTTCAGAGCCTTAGGAAAAGTTCTGTACTGTAAACGTAAGTAAATGTGTACAGTTGTTCTTTGTTTTGTTTTATATAAATCTTCTAATTCCTTTGATTCTTGTTTTTCATCCATACGTATGCCAGGAAAGTTGCCAGATCTAATAAGGTTATTAACAATACTGTCATCATATACTTTAAAATATTTCTTTTCAAAGTTTTCAAATATCTGTTTAGGTAACCAAGAAGGTGCAATAGACCCTCTACCTAAGCACTTGAAGGCAGAAGAACGGTTACCATTACAAGAAAACCCAGAGAGTATTTATGACAAGACATCAATGGGAGCAACAAGTTTTAGCCTCTTCCTGCACCAAAATTGCTTGGCCTTCTATTCCAGTATAGATAACCTGGGGAAAGCATTGCAACATCTAACAGATTCGGATGTTCTGTCTGCTGAGTGGACAGTAAGTAATTATGTACCATAGGGTCATAGCAGAAAGTTAGAGCAAGAATGGGTCATATACCTAGGGTACATATTTGAATATCCTTTTCATATCTGAATATGTTTTGTAAGCTATTAATGTGGGTATTCCTGATTTTGTAGCTGTAAGATATTAGTATTTTGATATTTTCTTGCTGAAGATACTGGATATAGTATATAGTTCATGAAGTTGTTTATATGTCTTACATTAGTAACTTTGGTAAGCCTTTGCTAGTGTATCAAGTGCAAAATTCCTTATTAATCTATCCTTTCCATTTTTTTTCTTTTCTTATTAATGCTGTACATTTTTTGTGTGTGCTCATTTATTCTGTACAATACTTTTCACCTTATGTTCTGTATTACAGGGGAAAGATATTCTGGAAGATTATGCTGCATCTGTGACTGTGCGAGGTTTAATGCATGCAAACCATGAAGAACAGAAGGGCAGTAGGTGGAGGCCGCTGACAAGACCAGTGTGGTACAGCGTCGCAAAGAAAAGCCAAGAGCACTTGTCAGCATTAAGAGCCGAACACCGAATGGCCTCGTTCACCTCTGAGGAGCTTACAACTGTGGTTGTCCCACTGCAAGCAAAGATTTATGCCGCGACCAGAAGAGGTTAGTGAGAAAAAGAGAAAAGATTGTGAATATTTCATGGGTATATACAGCATATAAACTCCCATATATATGTAATTGTTTTCAACCATTCTTTTTGAAGATTAGATTAATTAAGAAATAAGAAGTCTTGAAATGGTTTTACTGAATGGCTGATGTGATTTTAGCCATCTTTCAGCATTAAGTGTTTGTCATATTCAAAGATTGTATTTTTCTTCGTGACAGAAGAAAATTGCATCTCCAGAGACATCAAGTGGGCAGGAAGGGAGGGGAGGGAGGGGGATATATTATTATATATTAGCTATTTAGCTTCACGTTTTGTTTTTGTGTGTGTTATATATTATATTACAGATATTTTAGCTACTAATATATTTGTAAAGACAATTAGACCTTTATTGTTTGTATATTTATTTTTTCAGTGGGGTTTTGTATTTTTTAATGTATTTTTATCATCTACTTATTTTCTTACTTGTGTTTCCCCTCTTCAATATTTTTACATACCTATCAGTGATTTTTTTGCTTTGTTTCATGTTTCTTCAGGACACTTCTCCTTGACAAGGGAAATCGGCTCCTTCTCAAATATCCAAATGAATAACTCTTCCGGTGATCAATTAGACGAGCACGATGCGAATTCTTCGGTCGTAGAAGACGAGGAACCAGATCGAGGAGCAGTGAATGATGATACGGAGAACAAAGACACCGAAGTTGATTTGTTAGAAAACCAAGAGCCCAGTGATCCTGATGAAGACTTCAGAATTGATGAATTTGATGATTAAAGCCTCAAAGAAGGATAACTGAATATATTGTAATTGTAATAAAATTATTTCTGGAAATGTGTGTATACTTATTCCTTTTTTTAGTCCGTTCTTTGATGCAAGTTTTGTAATAATGTCTTTTAATAGTGTAAAATATGTACTCTTATTTTTACATATGTAATGATTACTGTCTGTTTTATCTGCCGGATATTTTAAGCATTAGGTGAAAATATATATAGTTTCTTGAATCATTTTGACTTTGTATGTGTATCCATACCACTGTCTTATGCACACTGTTCATAAATTAACAGTATGACCTATTCTATTAAATTACTTTTAGGATCTTGCCCTCTGTAGCAGTTCTGAACAAGAGAGAAACTGGCCATCTGAGATAAGCGAAAGTCTCATGTATATGAAGAGAAGAGTGTCAGGAGGGGAGGAATCTGGAGAAGGACACTGTTGCGACAGAAGGGATTTATGTGAGTTTCCAGGTGGGAAAGATAAGGATAATGGGGAACGAAGAGAGAATGGTGCAGATGGAGGAAAGGATAGGGTGTGTTGGGAAAAAGAGGGATGGATAGCGGCAAATACTTTGAATGCGAGGGAAAAGAAATAGAGGGATTGGAGGGTGGATAGGTTGTCTAGTGCAATGGGTAAAGTGAAGAGGAAGGATAGGCATCGGAGACATGGTAGAGATCGAAGTATCCGGATTTAGACTGGAAAAGGAATTTGACCTAGGGAGAGGGGGAACAGAGATAGCATGGTTCCAGGTAGAGGGAAGAGATACTGGAGGAGATACAGACATTTTGAGAAGATGAGAGAGCAGTAGAGTGAAGGACAGTTTTGGAATAAGTACAGTAGAGTGAGGCCTAGTCTGAATCTGAGAACTACTACTTCACATTCAAGCTTATTGGCAGGGCAGCTCTTATAAAATATATAATGGGAGCCCCCACAATTGGCTTGGAACTGACCAAGAGGAGATTGATAGTTTTACAGTATGTAATTTAATAGTGTGGAGACTTGACCAGAAAGATTGCCATCAGGTATACAGGAAGGTCTTAAAGTGGGGATAATAATCCGTGGCTGGAATATGTGAGGGATAAATAAAAGAACCATTCTGCATTCATTTTAAATGTTTTACATATATAAAAATCAAGAGAGTAAATAATTTCTCAATGCTACAGGCCTCTCATCGTAAAAGAAAATGAGTTACATATGTATTACTCAAACCATTACAATAAAAAGATATACTCTAATTTTTTTCTGCATCTGAAACAAGGAGGGTGTTAACTCCTTTTACAAACTGCAATATTCACATTTTAATACTAAATCTATCTGGAGATTTTGTACATTTACTTCTTGCATAGGAGGTTTTCGTCACTCATTCTACCTAGCGCAATACAAGCAGTCGTATTCATATTCATGACGGTTCTTACCCTAACTTGCACAGGGCAGCTAAAACACTAGTATTTTAACCCTTGCATTCACGGTACTATGTCCAATTAGATTCTCGTGGCAAACCACTACTCATGGTAATTAGGTAGTGAATTCGACATGAGCTTTCACATTCTCCACCTGAAAACATGCAGAAACACAATACTCAACTGAAATTATATGACGACTTTTTTTGGCGTTCCTTTTTTTCTATCACACAAACTTATGCTTTTTGTTTTTCTTTTTTTTTCTTTTTTGCTGTAGCTCTTTCACACACAAATATATTGTCTATCCAGAGAACATAATACTTTCTTGACACAGAAAATGAACAAATAATTCTGCAGTGTAAGATGTATAATTAAGGTTTCAATATTACTTCTTCGTTAGAATCAAGTAATTCAGATGCATACGCAATATCGAAACATTCATTGCAGATGGTCAATGCAGAATCATTAATTAACATTCACACCTTTTCTACATTTGCAACCATGAACTCTCTCTCCTCTTTGTCCTCATCCCTATTTCTCCCTAACGCCAACCTACGATCTCTCAACCACTACTATAAATAGCCTTATACACTTCAAAAGATGGAATGACATAAAGCGGAATCGAGAAAGCGGTTCAGTTAACAAGGCTCTCTGCAAACTTAACAAAATAATCTATACAGAAATAAATTACATTACAACATTAAAATACAAACTAGAAGATCCGATAGCTTTAGCTCCACAAGTGAGTGAATAATTAAAAAAAAACAAAGAGTAATTGAAGACAGAAAACTCACATATATTGTAGGCAATAATCTTCCTACATCATGCATCCCCCCCCCCAACACACACACACAGCAAGGAAAATACAAGGACAGAAAAAAAAAAAAAACATCAATAAATAAATTATCGTCAACAAATATACATATGCATGTAATAACAAGACACCAATTATCTTTGGACTGTACAATGAGTTTGGCTTTGGCTTAAGCATTCAGAAAATTTAAATAAGTAAAGGAACAGTAACAAATATAACGAAACCGGCAAGCTATTCCATGATACAGAGAGCAGATTTTAGTTATGAGGTCACAAATGGATAAGCAAAACAAATAATAATAAATCCCAAGAGGACAGAAGTTCTTGTGGCTTAAACCAGCAAGCTATGAGTCAATAACAACCTCGGAGGTGTCGCTGTACCATGAAAGAACACTAAAAAAGGACAGAAATATGGCAGCGTGAAGATAAAAGAGACACGTTTCCTCTTAACTTCTGACTTGTGCAATGGAAATTCTGTAATGATAAATATCTATTGCATACAGCCTCGAGGTGAATATATAAATAACCTTTTACATGGCAAAGTACAGGGGAATGTCAAAATGATTCCCAATCCTTAGTATGTACACTCTACCCAGACATACGTACACATATACATCTATCTACCTATCTACCTATATATTCACACACGCATTTACATTGCAAAGCTAGAAGGGAGATAAGCAGTCGAAGCAATGAACATTCCCGCGGCAAAGACAAGGATGCTGAGAGTGAGCCTCCCGACGTTGGCCCCGAATTCCTTGCAGATACCCCTGAAATGAAAAGACAAAGCATAATTTCCATAATCTTCCGTCTCTTGTATAATTTTCTCTTAAATCAGTAGTACAAACACAAATCTCTCTTATACAATCTGGCCTAATATTGGTTCAATTTTCTTTGTCTATGCAAAATATGTTGAAGACAATAATAATAAAAAGGATGATAATACAATAACAAAAATGATAATCAGAACATCAATAATGAATAATTAGGAAAACACAATATCTACGATACAAAATAATAGAATATTAGGAAAATTAGTAAGAATAATGATAGTAATACCCACTATGACTATAATTTTTACAACTATAACATTATCAATAAAAAAATAGTGATAACAGGAATAATAATAAAAAATAATGAAGACAATAACAAAATAACTGTAATCATAATGAATCTTCACATATCAAAAAAATCACAGAGCAAAAAAATATATATACATATATATCTTTTTACATTTTCAATGCCAGCATCAAAGGAACAGTAACAAAACAACCACACCCTGATAATATGAATGACAATATCAATCAAATGCAACATAAAACAAAAAATAAAGACTAAGAGACAAACAATAACATCTGAACCGAAACCACAATTACCTGTAAAAGTACAGTTCACAGCCCGAGCAGCCGAGGGCCAACATGCACCGAATGAAGAAGAACACCAGCATGCGATTGGACTGCAGGAGGTTAGAGTAAATCCAGCCGGGGACCGCGTGGATGAGGATGTAGGTGTAGGAGCGTAGTGCGTACTGGGGTGCATACTCCCACGTCTGGAATCCTTTGCCATACAGGAGGTAGTGGGTCTGGTCCAGGAGAGAGAAAAATGGATTACGTTACATTAGAGAGAAGGTTGGAGGGATGGAGGGAGAGTGGAATGTGAAAAATTAAAGAACACTGTTATAATGTATGTAAATCCAATACTACTAACCATAAGTGTGATAATCATATAAAGACATCTAACAAAATACAGTCAAAAGTAATTATCAACACTATCTTATTCATCAAAATCCGTGGTTCCCCATGGTCGAGACCCAAATGAGGTTCCCCAGGGTTTTTCTGAGGGTTGCCAGAGGATCTTAAAAGAAGAATAAAAGAATCCATAGCTGAATATGTCAGTAAAAGCTAATGTTTTTTATTATCACTTGCTTATTGAAATTCAATGTGTTGGTAATATAAACCTATTAAAGTATAGAAAAGTGTAAGCTAATGTACATCTGCTAGTATAACTACCATGAAAATGGTTGGAAATATTACTACATGTTCACACATTTAGGGTCGCTAGTACAGACGAAGACTGTCTTTAGGGTCAGATCCAAAAATGTTTGGGAAACGCAGATCTAAATCTATCAAAACAATACACAGAAAAACATAATAATCATACTAACTCATTCCTATCAATCAATGAATTCTTGAAATCAAATCTAAAACCACAATACAGCAGTTGGTTTGGTATTTATCATTGTATACTCCTTAATACAACAATTAGACAACACATGAATATAAAAAAACTATGGAAAATTCAAATCAACTTAGAATACAACTACAAGCAACCTGAGAAACCCACCGGCTCCCAGTAGTTGTAGGTTTCATCGCAGTCGTTGATGAGGGCCCAGATGGCAGCGCAGAGTCGGGCAGAGAGCAGTGCTTTGAGAGCTGTGTATGCTCCAGGCGTCCAGGGCTCAACCACGCCTACTATATTCTGTCCAGTATCCTCTCTCTCTTTAGGACTGGGAAAAGAATATATACTTATCACACAAAAGAAATTAAAGTAAATAATCTTCTGATTATTGACTATATGACTTACATGACACTACAGCAAAACAAAATTTGGTGATAGTTTACAACAGGACCGCAACTGCCAGCGACCAAGCCTCCAACTCCAATTGACGAAGTCATGAAACATATCCTAAACGTATAAACTGCCACAAATATCACTGAATGAATTAAAACCCTTCCTCAACCAGGGGCTTCCCCTCCAAATCCTAAACTAATTGCCATATTTCCCTAGCTGTTGTATACTTTAATCGTGTAAATATCATGAGTGATTTAGAAAAATTAGGCCACATTACACTATTGCAATGCTTGTCATACAAATATTATGCGAGTACACTCAGTTCTATAACTTTCATGCACTCAATTACACCATATAGAATGAAAATATTTAATTCAATTTTTTTTTCTTTTTTTTCTAACAATAGCATACACTTTAACTATAATCTTTTAGCAGAAACACAATCCACTTGTATACCATCCAAGTTTCTGCGAACTGGTGGTCACATTGCTCCACTAATGATGTCTGATTCCCACCCTATTACTTACAATTACCTCTCGTAATGATTTTTGACTTGTTTAAGTGGTAGAGATGGTCCAGTGATGGGCGATATTTTACAGAACAGAGTGGTTTCCATATAAATTGATAGATAATAGATAAATAATATAATTAACACACTTGTAGTGACTGATTTTTGGATATTCATATGAAGAAATAAATGTTTAAAAACAGCTTTTGTAGCCTAAACACTAATGAATTAAACAAATTAATTACATCAGAAGTATAATTTAAAAGCATTTAGTATTCTCACTCTATTAATAATAATAATAAAAAAATAATAATAATAATAAAAAATTAGTCTTACTTGGTTCTTGTTATTTTCAGCAAAAAAAAAAAGTAACTAACTAACTAATAACTAATAAAAAAAATAAATAAATAAATAAATAATAAATAAATAAATAAATAAATAAATAAATAAATAAAAAAAAATAATAAAAATAAATAATAAATAAATAAATAAATAAATAATAAGTAAAAAAAAAATCTTTCTTAAATTTCACTTATGCAAAAAAAAAAAAAAAAAAAAAAAGGAGGGGGAAGGGAATCTGAAAACATTAATGTATTGCTGAATTCAGAATTCCTCGTCTTGCTCGTCCAGAAAACTTGTCAGGACCAGCAGGGGGCAGCGTTCAGAACCTCCAAGACCCTTTCTGCCCAAATGCAACAGCTGAATGTAAACTTCACTTTTTTATCATCCGGTGTCTTAATTTACACGCTGCATAGGATTTTGTGACTCCTTTGATGCACATTTAACTTACCTGCAACTGACAAACACAAAAATTTCCTTTGATAACATCAATAAAGGGCCATAAAATTACCCATCAATATCTTGTGGTTACCTGTAACTGTCAATGTTTACATACAAAAGCTATTGTGACATCATCTCGTCCTGCTCACCGACCTTCGCAGGAGGGCGAGATGGACAACTGGTCTGGGACGAGATAGTGGAGGTTCCAAACGGTCAAGACATCTTGTCCAACTGGTCTGTACGAGCAGGACGAGCAGTTCCAAGCACATCATAATCACCCTTATGCTGAGTTCAGACCTGCTCGTCATGCTTGTCCAGACCAGTTGGACGAGATGTTTTGACTGTTCGGAACCTCTACTATCTCGTCCCGGACAAGTTGTCCATTTCATTTCGTCCAGCTGGTCCTCCTGTGAAGATGGTCGAGCAGGACACAATGACGTCACAAGACCTTTTGTATGTAAACATGACAGTTACAGGTAACCACAAGATATTGATGGGTAATTTCATGGCCTTTTATTGGTGTTATCAAAGATATATTTTCGTGTTTGTCAGTCGCAGATAATTAAATATGAATCATTTGAGTTACAAAACCTATGCAGCGTGTAAATTGAAGACACCGGGATGATAAAAAAGTGAATGTTTATATTCGAGCCGGTTGCATTCTGGGCAGAAAGGGTCTTGGAGGTTCCGAACGCGGCCCACTCGTCCTGCTGGTCCTGGACAAGTTGTCTGGACGAGCAAGACGAGTTCCGAACGCAGCAATACATCTAAAATTGGCACACCTTGTACATAACATAATCAAATTGCAATACATCACATACTTCAAAAGTAAAAAAATTCTAAATACAAATAAAAGACAAGAGAAAAATAACAAAACTACAAATGTGAACAGAACGTCAATGACAGCAAGTGTCAGTTCTTCAAACATGTAGTTTCCTCCTTACTGATGGCCACAGAGGGAAAAGGGAGACAAACAACATGAAAAATAAGTTACATTACTATGATATTCGTAAAATACAAGAAATTATCATGTAAATATTGCCGATACCAGACTTTCCCTCTCGCGCCATTCCTTTCCTCTGCAAAGATTTTTCTACCGATACATGCCAAATATTCGCCGAATACATCTGTTATCCTTACGATTCTTTATTATTCGCCTGACGTTTAAGGATTTCTTTCTGTAATTCTTTTCTCGTATGGACATTGGCCCGATTCCTTGCTGTCGGCGCCATCTTTGCTCCTCCTTAACTCCGGGTCGCGCACCAGCGATCATATCCCTCTCTCTACTTAATTGTTGAAAAGAAAGGATGTTTTTACGTAAATTTCGATAATAAGTATGAATTTATATATACATAATCCTTTTGTTTCCTATCTTTTATGTCTAAAGGTAAAAAATATCTAATATACAAGATAAGTATCTAAACTAGGTTTTCGCATTCGAATAAATTTGCACAAAATTTCACAGATATCATGTTCCAAAAATATATATTCGAGACACAAATCCACACCTTATTACAGAAAAACGAAAAAAAATCCTAAATATCCCATAAACCCTCTTCTTCTCACATAAAATGTAAAATAATTCCTTTTTGAACGCGAGGGGAGGAACAACATAAACACCTCTTCTTGTAATGGCTCTACAGACTAATTCCAGATTAAGGTAATTTCTCCGTTTTTAATGGTAGTTAAGGTTGTTAGCACGTGTAGTTGACCAGATTAGAGGTATTTCTTGCTCGGTTTGAAGGAGTATTAATTATCTGGTTGTTTATTGACGAGAATTAATGTATTAAATATGGTTGTCTACTTATTTTATCACGATTTTATTTATTTCGAAATTACTCGTTTTATTCATTCTATAAGCCAGACAGTGTCCAAAACGACAACGAATAATCCGTTGCATATATTAATTTATAAGTGTTCCAAAATTCAAACTTGATAAATAATTTAATTGCATTTAAAGTACCGTGACCCTGGTTGACCTGACGCAATATCCTGCAATTTAGTGATAAGGAAAAAATGCATTTTCTTTAATAGGTACTTACGTTTTTTTTTTCGATTTGATAGCAACTTCTCTTAATTTACCAACTATGTATCTTTTTCTTTTGTGAAATTATTTTTATTATTATTATTATTATTATTATTATTATTATTATTATTATTATTATCATTAATATTATTATTATTATTATTGTTATTATTATTATTTTTATTTTTATTATCATCATTGTCATTATTATTATTATTATTATTATTATTATTATTATTATTATTATTATTATTATTATTATCATCATTGTCATTATTATTAATGTTATTTTATTATTAATGTTGTTATTATTATTATTATTATTATTATTATTATTATTATTATTATTATTATTATTATTATTATTATTGTTATTATTATTATTATTATTATTATTATATTGTTATTATTACTATTATTATCATTCTAGTTATTATTATTTATTATAATATCGTTATTATTATTATCATCATTATTATTACTATTAATATTTTTATTATGTTTTTTATTGTTATTAATTATATTATGATTATTGTTATTTTTGTTATTATTATTATCATTACCATTATTAATAGTATTAGTATTAGTATTAGTATTATTATAATGATAAGTATTATTATTATTACCATTATGATTATTGTTATTATTAATAATACTGATAATGATGATGATGATAATAACAATTATCATTATTATTATTAATATTCTTATTGTTAGTGTTGTTGCTATTGTTTCTATTTTTTGTTATATATGTTATTATTATTGTTTTGATGATGATTATTATTGTTGTTCTTATTTATTATTATTGTAATAATGATTATTATTGTTGTTGTTATTATTATTATTTTATATTATTATTATTATTATATTATTGTTATTATTATTATTATTATTATTATTATTATTATTATTATTATTATTATTATTATTATTATTATTACTACTATTATTATTATTATTAGTTAACTGTTTTATTTCTGTTATCACCTTTTTATTACCATTATAATTGTTAAGTTAGTATTGTTATCATTGTTTAAAAATATATTATCATTATAATGATAATAATAATAATAATTATTTATTATTATTATATTATTATTATTATTATTATTATTATTATTGTTATTACCTCTGCTACTATTACTTTTGTTATTATTATTATGACTACTACTACAACTATTATTAGTGTTTTTGTTATAACTATTATTACTATTATGATTGATATTTGATATTATTATTATTTCATAAGCATCATTATCATCATCATCAGCATTATTATTATTATTATTATTATTATTATTATTATTATTATTATTATTATTATTATTATTATTAATATCAGTATTACTAGTAGTAGTAATAATTAGTGTAGTATCATTATCATTATATTATTTATTGATATATTATTAATATTTTTGTTATATTTATCATTATCAGAACTATGATGGTGATGAACTATGATGATGATAATGATGATAATGATGATGATGATGATATGATGATGATATGATGATGATAATGATGATGATGATAATGATGATGATGATGATGATAATGATAATGATATGATGATGATGATGAGGAGGAGGAGGAGGAGGAGGAGGAGGAGGAGAGGAGGAGGAGGATTATGATGATGATGGTGATTATGATGATGATGATGATAGTGATTATTAGTAGTAAGAATAGTATTGTATTAGTTATCATCATTATCATTATTGTTGTTATTGGTATTATTATTGTTGTTTACATTATTACTTTTATATCACAATTTATACATATTTTTATTATTATCTTTATCCTTATTATTATTGTTATTATTATAATTATTATATTTATTGTCACTATTATTGTTATTATATTTTTGTTGTTATTATTTTTTTGTTATTATTATTGCTATTAGTTTTTGTTATTATTATTATTGTTATTGTTATTGTGATGACTATTTTTATTATTGTTATGATTGTTTTAGTATTTATTATTATATTATTATTATTATTATTATTTTTTTTTGTTATTATTATTACTGGTATTATTACTGATATTGTTATTATTGGTGTTATTACTGATATTGTTATTATTAATGATATTATTATTATTATTGTTATTATTATTATTACTAATTGTTGTAGTTGTTCAGGGTGGTTGTGTTATTGTCATTGCTATTGTTGTTGTTATTATTATCATTGTTATTATTTTGTTGTAGTTTTGTTATTAGTATTAGTATTATTATTGTTTTTATTATCCTTTTCAGTATTATCACTGTTATTATTATTATTAACAACATTATTATTATTATTATTATTATTATTATCAGTATTTTTCATGTGATTAAAATTGTCATTATTGTTATCGATATTATTGATTCTTATTATTGTTGTTGTTTTATTATTATTATTATATTGTTATTATTAATGTTTTTATTGTTATTTTTATTAATATTATTAATATATTATATTACCATCATCATCACATCATCATCTTCATCTTCACCATCACCATCATCATCATACCACCACTACCACCACACCACCCACACCACACCACACCACACCACCACTACCATCATCATCTTCATCTTCATTATCATCATCAGCACAACCACCACGCATCATCATCATCATCATCATCAAACATATCATCATCATCATCATTCATAGCCCACCACCCACCACCACACACCACACACATCATCATCATCAGCACCATCCACACCACACAGACCACCATCACATCATCACCACCACCATCACCACCCATCACCACCATCATCATCATCATCAATCAATCATCATCATCCACATCAAACCACCACTACCATCATCATCATCATCATCACATCATCATCATCATCACCATCCACCACCCACCACCACCACCACCATCATCACTCACCATCATATCCTTCATCTTCCAGCCACCACCATCATCATCATCATCACCCACATCATATCATCATCATCATCATCATCATTACCATCACCACCACCACCACCACCACCACACACCACCATCAATCATCATCATCACCACCACTACCACCACCACCACCACCCCACCACACTACACCATCATCTTCATCTTCAGCAAACCACCATCATCATCATCATTACAAACCACCATCATCATCATCATCATCATCATCATCATCATCATCATCATCATCATCCATCACCACCACCACCACCACCACCACACCACCACCACCACCACACACCACCATCATCATTCAGCACACCACCAATCATCATCAGCAGCCACCACACATACACACCACCACCAACCATCATATCATCATCATCATCATCACCATCACCACCACCACCACCACCATCATCATCATCCTCATCATCATATCATCATTCACCATCACCACACCACCACCACCACCACCACCACCAACAACCACCACTACCATCATCACCAATCATACATCACCATCCATCATCACCACATCATCAACACCACCAACCATATCAATCATCATCATCATCATCATCATCAGCACAGCACCGTACACCACACCTTCATCTCATCATCCAATCAACACAGCAGCAGAGCAGCACACCACCACCACTCACCACGATCATCACCATCCATCATCATCCATCATCATCATCACCACCACATCAATCCACCACATCATCATCACAATCATCCAACTCAACACACCACCACCACACGACACCACACCACCTTCATCATCTCATCATCATCACCCAACCACCAGACCATTCATCATCATCATCATCATCACCACCAACACCATCCATCATCATCATCATAACCACCACAACCACCACACCACCACCACCACCACACCACAACACCCACATCATCACCACCATCATCATCACCATCAATCATCATCATCCATACCACCACACACACAACCACCATCATCATCAATCATCATCATCATCATCACCACACCAACACACACCAAAAACACATCACATCATTCACCACCGACCAATCACCAGTCATCATCTCAAAACACACCATCATCATCATCATCATCATCATCATCATCCAACAAAACACATAACCCACCATTTTACCACACACTCACACACACAACCACAATCATCATCACACACCCAACACCACAACATCATCCCAATCACATATCAATCATATCATCACCACATCACCACCACACACCACCAACACCACATCATCATCATCATAAGCATCATATTTCATCACCATCCACCACCACCAACCACCACCACACCATCATCACCACATTCACACCACCACCATCATCATCATCACCACCATAATCATTCATCATCAATCATTCATCATCATCATCATCATTCAATCAACATCAACACCACCACCACCATCATCACCATCATCATTCACCATCACCATCACTATCATCATCATCACCACCACCACCACCCCCCACCATCATCACCATCATCATCATCTCATCATCATCAATCATCTCAATCACATCACACTATCATCACCATTACCATCATCAACACATCATTCAGAAATGCTTTTATCTTTTTTTCTCTTTTAACAGTGATGTTGACGAGTACGGCTTTGAACGACCCCCAGACTTCGACTACCAGAACTATGAGGAATTCATGTCGAGGTATCTGTCCGTCTTGACACGCCGCGCGAGAAAGTGGTCTCACCTCTTGGGAGCGAAGGAGACGGTAGGAAGAGGAATAAAAGTGAAGCGATACGTCAGAAAGGGGATTCCCATGAAGCATCGGGGAAAGGTGCGCCGAGGGATTAGTATTTGTTTTTTATTGTTATTATATATAATATATATATTATAATATATATATATATAATATATATACTAATTATTATATATATACTATATATATATATTTTTTTTTTTTTTTTTTTTTTTTTTTTTTTTTTATGACTAATCTTGATATCTGTCTTTCGCTCTTTTCTACCTTTGTCTCTTTTGTCTCCTTTCTTTTTCTTCTCCTCTCTTTCTCTCTTTTCTCTCTTTTCTTCTTTTTCTCTTTTCTCTTTTTTCTCTTTCTTCTCTTTCTCTCTTTTCTCTTTTTCCTCTTTCTTCTTTTTCTTTTTCTCTTTCTCGCTCTCTTTTTCCCTCTTTTCTCTCTCTTTCTCTTCTCTCTCTTCTCTTCTTGTCTTTCTCTTGCTCTCTCTCTCTCCTCTCTAAACTCTCTCTCTCTCTCTCTCTCTCTATCTCTTCTCTGTCTCTCTTCTTGCCTCTCGTCTCTCTCTCTCTCTTGCTCTCCTTCATCTCCTTTCTCTCTCTCTTTTGCTCTCTCTTCTCTCTCTCTCTCTCTCTTCTCTTCTCTCTCTCTCTCTCTCTCTCTCTCTCTCTCCCTCTCTCTCTCTCTCTCTTCTCTTTTTCTATCTCCTCTTCTTTCTCCCTCCCCTCCCCCTCCCCTCCTCCCTCCCCCTCCCTCCCTCCCTCCCTCCTCCCTCCTCCCTCCCTGCCTCCTCCCTCTCTCCCTCCTCTCTCTCTCTCTCTACTCTTCTCCTCTCTCCTCCCTTCCTTTTTTTTCACATATATCTTCCCTGAACCCTAATGCATCTGCTCTTCTGCAAACAGATGTGGATGGAAGTGAGTGGTGGCAGGAGAAAGATGGAGGCCCACCCAGGCTATTACAAAAGTTTGCTCGAAGGAAGCTTTGACGAGGAGGTGGTAGAGTCTATTAAGATTGATGTCCCGCGCACTTTCCCTGATAATATTTATTTCCGAGATTACAATGAGGGGAAGCTGACAGACTTATACAATGTGCTCGTTGCTTTTGCTCACCACAATAAGAAGATAGGATACTGCCAAGTAAGTGTTGTGTGTGTGCATGTGAGAGAGAGAGAGAGAAGAGAGGAGAGGAGAGAGAGAGAGAGAGAGAGAGAGAGAGAGAGAGAGAGAGAGAGAGAGAGAGAGAGGAGAGAGGCATCGAAGGATATAAAGATATTGTTCTTAGATGTAGATTCAGATATTTTTTATCATTCATCATGTGCAATGGTATAGCTGTTGTAATCCATAACATACCAGAATATTTTCCAAGCAAGAAGCAATGCCTTTCATTGAAATTTGCTCAACAGGGCCATCAACTCACATTGCTGGCCCTTTGCTTGATCACATTACCGAAAGACGAGGAAAGCACGTTCTGGCTCCTGAATTTCGGTCGAAGAATCTGTTGCTCAGTACTATATCTGGAATTGATTCTTTGCGTTCTCTGTTGACAGACATAAGTGTTGGAATCCCTTGTGAAGTGAGTCCGGTTTTGTTTTAGGATGTCACTGATTCTTAAACATATACAAATATATATTTGTGTATATAATAATGGACATTTGTGTTTTTTTGGCTACTTTNAACAACTACATCAGGACCAGCCTTGGCGAGTCTCAGGCACTACACATCCATCCAACTTAACGAAAATGAGTATTCATATACATGAAGGGGTCGCACATACTTCATCATATGGAAGAGACCTGCCTCTTGCTGAAGTCGTACAAGTTTACATAAGTAGAGCAGTTCAAATGTTTATCTAGAGAACATTTCGAAGAATCTCCTGAGGGTATTTAATACTTGAAGACAGATATTTTGTTAGGCGGTCACAGTTGACAAATGATGAGCATAAATATACAGCGCAGACTAGCAGGCAAAATATGCAGTCACTTATTGCCACATATTTTTTTATCCAAGTCCTTCCTGTTGTTTTAGTTGGGTTTTGTTCCATTTTATTTTATTTATTTATTTTTGTTTATTTATTTTTCTAAGCTTTGATAGATTTAGAGTATTAGATGTTTTCTAATGTGATCATGCTCCTGTACCAAAATCAAAATTTTCCTGCTTAAGTAAGATGTATTGCATGTTTTTTACGGTTGCTTATTCTGTCTCGGCTTTTAGCAAACTCTTGGGTTTTCCTTGCAGACAGTGTTAAGAATCTGGGATTGCCTGTTTTATGAAGGCAACAAGATCTTGATGCGTGTGGCCATCATTCTCGTCTTGTCGAATGAGCAGAAGATTCTCATGAGTCAGGATTTCGGGGACTTCATGGAATGCTTTAAGAAGATTACTAAGGATGCTGATGCCATTGACTGTCATACATTTATGGAAGTAAGTAGTGCAGCATCGGCTGATTTTTATCTTCTTGACTCTAATAATGACTAAAAAATAAAGTTATTTGCATTTCCTTTTTACTGAATGGGAAAAATCATCCATACGTAAAAGGAAGATATTCAATTTTAGGGATGTTGAAAATGATTATTGAAGACAGAAATCATCCTTGTGTAAATGCTGAATACTTATTTTTATTAATTATTATTGAAGACTGTCATTAAGAGATCACAAAGAAGTTCCCGAAAGCACTATGATTTCTTTTACTGTTACAGAATGCTTTCAAAGTATCTGGATCCTTTCCTCGAGCACGTTTGGCCAAGTTGCGGGATGAGTGTAAGGAAGAGGTAAGAGCTGAGATGAAGAAATAATGGACTGAGATGATATGACCGAGAAGGAGATGAGCAGCGATGCATGTCTCTTTGTCTTGTACATAGACAAGAACTTGAAACCTCATGTGGTTTATATTGTGTTCCAGCCTCCTATAACTGGTTTGTGATGATTGTAAAACCCGCGAGAAGTGGGTATATTTGCTGTTGATTTGTGGATGATGTTTTCCAGTGATTTAATTTTAGAAGCTTTATTCCAGACTCTGATGTTTTGGTCATTCCAGCATAAATTGCTATATTTAATTTACTTAACATACTGAAGATTTTTGTGATACGTAATAGCTGTATGTCATAAAGCTTTAATTACACTGCCACTTACCTATAGTTATAAGAAAGCAGGTGAGAAGTATTAGAGACTTAAGGTCTTTACTTCTTACATATAGCAGGGCAGTTTATGTTACAGTTACTGTAACACTTATTGAAAATATAGTCATTATTATTAGTGAAAGGATATTTAACTGTAGTTGTTGGGGATATATTGACATTAGTACTTTAATATGTTGATCATTTTGGATATTTAGACATAGTAAGTATTATGCAGGTCATGCCAGGACATACGCGGTGAGTCTAGAAATAATGCAGTTCTCGGTCGTCCTTTGAATAATTATGGGGAAATTATTTACATTTATTTTAGAAGCTTTATTATGGGTCATTTGGATTGATCGTAAGGGATTTAAGGAATTTCTTTCTAAAGTAACCTGATTTTTTTTTGACGGATAACTAATCTCACAAGATAATGCAACAATGATTTTTTTTTATCCATCAGATTCATAATGTATAGATTTATTTCACAAAATTATCTTCATTTAGGCTGAAAAATTTCCTAATTTTTAAAATTTATATTTCTGGTCCTGTTTGCTCAAATATGTTGTTTGAAAAATAGTTTCTTACAAACAAATTTGCATGTATATGCGCAGACAATGATAAACTCACAGAAGAATATTTATATGCGCATATGTGTCTATACACATTTCTTTAGCCTCTTTTGTCTGGGTTTTGTGATTTTTGGGAAATTAGTACGTTTCCTTTTTCAGACTTGATCCAATGTCTGCTTGATTTGTTTGATTAAATTCTTTATTGATTGGTGATTGTACTGCAAAGTTGAGATTTTCCAAGATATTTTTTTTTAAATTTTAATTTAATTTCTTTCTTCTCTCTCTCTCTCTCTCTCTCTCTCTCTCTCTCTCTCTCTCTCTCTCTCTCTCTCTCTCTCTCTCTCTCTCTCTCTCTCTCTCTCTCTCACTCTCACTCTCATTTTTAAATGTAAGATTATCTTAATTATCAGTTATCTTAACTGTTTGTATATTGACAGTGAGACTCGTAAGAGATAGTATTGATCCAGTTTTCATGATTTGGCCGCCAAGTTTTGATTTGATGTGATTTAAGGGAATGAACAATCATCATCTTTCCTTTGGTGTTGTGACTGCGGAAACATACTCTAGACAAAGTACAAATGCCAACAGTAAGGCAAGTGAGATAGTGCTTCTTTTATCTCCAATTTTGTGGCTGTTGTTATCTAGAGCTTCATTTGTTCAAATAACTTTTTTTTCTTCTTTTTTTTTTGTGGGTGTGATACAGAGGAGTGACAGTGGCAGTCTTACCAGTTTTTTATTTATTTTATTATTATTATTTTTAAGAATAGCACTTGTCTGTGGCTAATTCAATTTTATGTTTTAAGCTGCGTGTGTTAGATTTTGATTTACATAAGATGATCATTCTTTTGTGGTATGCTGAAAATCCCATTAGCTTAATTATTATTTATTATTATTCAGTTATTTAATGTTTTAATAATTTCAGGCAACTTAATATCTTTTCTTGTGGTTTCTCATGATTATTTATTTATTAATACAAATGAACTTATTGTTTAATTACTTCATTTAACTTATTATCATTTCTCATGATTTCTTTGGCTGATTTTTAACAGTTTTTATAGTACTCCGACTTGGCAGTTATTAAGAAAAAAAAAAAAAAATGTATACATATATTGGATTCCTTTTTCGCCACATTCTTTTATCTGTGGAGAGTGATCGGCCAAAGGAGATTTTATGGCTATTAATTTATGATAGGAAATTAAAGATCCCTGATAGGAGCTTTTACTTACAAAAAATCTACCATACTTATTTCACTGTAAACTGTCATGTTTCCTTTTTTTGTGTACTTAGAAGGTATGAATAATCATCTAGATATGTGTTTTGAGCTTCCATTGGGATCTTTCAGGAATGGGACAAGACTAGGCAATAGATGCGACATTGCACAATAAGACTTTGTTAATAGTTAACAATCTCTTTCTATCTTTTGGCAACTTTTGAATTTGCACCAGTGTTTTGTTTGATTTTTTTTTCTTTCTTTTGCAAATCCACGGAAGGAATCTTAAATGTAAAGTTATGAACTTTGAATTATTTATTTCCTCTTCTTGCAAATATCCATATTTTAGTTTCCTCTAGTTGAAAAAAATAAGACTAAAATAAAAGTTTTTTTTCTTCAGTATTTGACACATTATAAAAGGTTTAATTTGTAGTCTGGTGTTGCCTACTTCCAGTACCTATAAAGATTTAGCATTTCTTGCACATTTGATATTAGTCATGAAGCATTATTACCAGATCACTGGAGTATTCACGAGAGATTTGATTACACATCATTACCGTTATTATAATTATTTTGTACTTTGGGGATTAGTTGAAATTATAATGCTCGATTAAATCTTGCTTCATCGAACAGGTTTCCTTGTGAGAAGGTCTGATACTTAACATTAACTAGCATGGCTAGTTAATGTTACCATATCCTGGGTTACATTTTTCCCTTAAGAGATATTCCAAGCTTATTTCCATACAGATGGACTAAAAGTAGTTGTGTAGGCTATCTCAGGCTATCATTCTTTTGATAATTACTAAAACATAATGATTGTATGTATTCATTATTCGTTTACACTGTATGGGTTTGAATAAGTGGAGATGGTGTTCGCGACTAGAGGAAGGAGTCATCTTATGATACTGTGGGGTCACATGTGATATTACAGGAAGCTTCTGCAAGGAATTAGGGGACATTGTTATCCATTTATTCAACAAAAGATCCTACAAGCAGATGATGTGGAGAATATCACCTTGTTTCATATTGTTCTACCTTGTTCAAAAATAATAACTAGACATTAATGTTTATTGAATTTCATTCATTTCTTGCATCAAAGCTTCTTGAATTGGAAGCCACTGCTGGTCTAGGACACTAATTTTATGACTGTCTCTTATTTCGAGCTATAAGTGCTTTAAGTTGACTAACCCTGTCTCACTTGACATATATTGCATTCCAAGTTTCTGTGCACTTATCTTGATTAATTTTACATTCCATAAATAATATTTTTAATTTATCTGGAATTCTTTATCTCTGTGTAGCTTGACTTATATTTTTGGAGGGATTAAGATCATAAACAGAGATGTTCTAAAGATAATCAAAGGAAAGAAAATAATTTGTTATTTAGTTTCAGTACAGTCTTGTTTTTGTGTTGCTTTTCTTATCATCACCATCCTTATCCTTTTAATCAGCTTGAACTTTTAAGAGTGAAAGTAAGATGGAGAGTGAATTTTTAGATGGTAGAGAAGGGTGCAACAGAAATAAGGAAATTCATGAGCTGTTCTATTGCTCTTTATGTGTAAAGTTTATATGATTCTCCTGTGTATTTTCCAGCATAGTTGCTTATGAAGCTTACAGCTGGTTTGATTATACTGATTCTGCTTGTATGATTTGATCTTGTCTGGATAATGATATTTAGTTCTTTTTTTAATTGTGAAATCTGTGAAATACAATATTTATTATACCATATTTCTTTCGTGCAGGTACACGCACGCACTTGCACAAACAAACACACACACACACACACACACACACACACACACACACACACACACACACACACACACACACACACACACACACACACACACATGTATTCTTTTCCTTTTTGGTTTTGTGTTTATGATAATGAATTCCACTTGAATTAATATTTAATTATTTTAAAAGAAGCAGTTCTTATGCAGATTTTATAATCAGAGAGAGAAACAGGAAAATATGTTTATTAGAATAAGGCTAGAAACAAGATGTTTTTCGTTGAAAAAGTATTAAAGTGCTAACAAAATATATATTGTCATTATTCATATTGTACTTAATGTAACTAACAGTAATGCAAACTGTAAATGCTGGAAGACAGATATTTATGAAAGATATTCACTGATATAAGAAAAGGACTTATTTTTATTAGCTTTCAATTAATGTAAGTGCCTTAAACATAAAATCTGGAGGCAGAAGGTACAGTTTTTTTTTTCTTTTCTTTTTTACCTTGTGTATTTATTGATAAGATGACTGAAAAATCTGAGATAGAGAAACTTGAAAGGTTTTTTGTTTTCATTTTACAGGTAAACAAATTCTAAGAAGGAACCTGTACTGTTGTGAGATCTTGTGGTTAAATCTGATTGCTTTTTTCACTGTTATTTGTGTTTTATAAGTGGTCTAGTAACTTGAAGAGATAATATGATTCATTGGAATTCTATTCAAGAAAAAATGATGAGATTACTTAATTGTGTTATATGCTGTAGTCAACTTTTTGAGGTTTATTGTTTATTATGCATTTTCTTGTAAACGAAGTCTCTCTCTCTCTCTCTCTCTCTCTCTCTCTCTCTCTCTTCTCTCTTTTTCTCTTCTCTTTCTCTTTTCTCTCTTCTCTCTTCTCTCTTCTCTCTCTCTCTCTCTCTCTCTCTCTCTCTCTCTCTCTCTCTCTCTCTCTCTCTCTCTCTCAGTCATGAAAGTGTTTGTAATTCAGATTGTTGAAATTCACTTGAAAGTTGATACTTAAAGCCGTTCTTTTTCATATAATTGTTACTTAAAATTATTTGTTAGGGTCTGCATACATTAATGGCAATAGACTGATTTGGTCTACAGCGAAAATTGCATAGCCTTGCATTTTGTGACAGCTTTTAGGATGATTACTGTAACTTATTCTACCACTGAAATATCAGGAAAGGCTATTCATTACTCCATGATTTAGATGTTTTGTCCATGATGAGTAAATTAGCCTAATAAGGCTTTTCATACTTAATTGTGGAGTTGTAAAAAAAATTGTATGGGTCAACCATATCACTGTCAAGTGGAAAAGGAAGAAAGAGAAATTAAGAAAAAGACATTAATTAAGATCATAAATTGGGATACTGGTAGAGAACTTTAATTTTATAGCTTTTAACTTTGTGGTTTTTAACCCTTAAAGGAGGAAGTACAAGAAATTTTATTTTCGGATAGGAGCACACTGTGCACAGACCAGCAAAAGTTATTTGTTCATACTGTTCTTATTATGAGTATCCAAATTAAAGCAATTTCAATGCTGAATTGATGATGTATTAAAGTAAACAAAACAAAACAAAAAATATTCATGTACTGAACTTGCTGTCTGGTAAATGTCATACTCACACACATACAAAATGCATATACAAATACATTTACCTTACACATCTATATACAAATGTATGCAAGGCAGATTAGTCATTCCTGTTCAGGTTGTGAGAAATCTCATTTTGAAATTATTTCCTTAGTTATCTATGCTTATTTATT